AGAGAGAGAGAGAGAGAGAGAAAGATAGAGAGAGATAGAGAGAGAGAGAGAGAGAGAGAGAGAGAGAGAGAGAGAGAGAGAGAGAGAGAGAGAGAGAGAGAGAGAGCGACAGAGAAAGAGAGAGAGTAAGTTTCCACGGCCTGCAATAATCTACTTGCATTATATTATCTAGGAATTTATGCCGTCTTGTATAGGGAAATAAATATGTTTGTTTCTTTTTTACACACGTACATACGCTCTTGTCTATCGTTATTCTACGTTCGAAATCGGCTTTGTTTATGGAATCATGCAGGCATCTCACACATTGCGCGCGAGAATGTATCGGAGTTCGAATTTTGAACGCGGCGGCGTGAATTTTCCAGGTCGCGGTCGCCACGGCGACGGATGCCCGTACACAGACCGCCGCTCCGCCGACGGCCGAGCCCGTCGCTACGGCGACGCCCGATGCCATCGCGTAGCCCCCGGCGACGGCCTTCGCCCCCGCGAAGGTACGTCCTCGTCGCCGCGCGCGAAAATCCTCGTTAATTTTATTTCATTATATCTTAAAAGTAAAAAAAAGGAAAGTTAAATTTATTTTATTTTATTAATTAATTGTTTTAATTTTTTTAAAGTTTTTACTTTTTTTTTTAGTTGTCGTTTCTTACTTGAGCGTTACAACTTACTGGATGTACCAATCTGCCATCTTCGATATCGATAGTTGTCAGATTGTATGTTAACAAATGATATACGTTGCAGCTTGATAGCCTAGTAGCAGGGATTAGTAGATTAATGGTTAGTTACCAATTAATTAATGGTTAGTTAACGATTAATTAATGGTAAATTAACGATTAATTAATCATTTAGTTACCGATTAATTAATGGTTAGTTAACGATTAATTAATGGTAAATTAACGATTAATTAATCATTTAGTTACCGATTAATTAATGGTTAGTTAACGATTAATTAATGGTAAATTAACGATTAATTAATCATTTAGTTACCGATTAATTAATGGTTAGTTAACG